ATATCTATTATCATTCGGACTCCGTAATTGCAGGACACAACATTAATAACCACCATCAGCGGAGGAAACCCGCCATCAGTGGTGGGAATTGGAAAAGAATATAATCCGAACACTACGCAAAGCAGCGCTCTTGTATCACATTTGATTTATTAATGTTAAAAACTGTAAAAAAAAAAAAATCAGCAGATAATCAAATCGAAAAAAGTCTGAACAGTAACCAACTTTGTAAATTAATAAATAAAAACCGTGCAGTATTCAACCTTTCTAAAAAACAGTTACCAACTTGATCAAAATCAGCAATCAAACTTATAAAAAACAGTTCATGAAAGTTGCAACAATATTGATTAAATTGTGAGAAATAAAAAAAATCGCATCTTAGAGTGAAATACCAGAATTTTTTTTTTGAATTCTCACTTTCTCTTTCACAAAATAATAACTAATAACTAAACTGAAACGAGACAAAATTGGACGTTACGAATTGAAACGAGATAAATTTAATCAAAATAAACTTAAATCAAATAAACTTAAATCCTTAAAATACTTTAATAGAATAGAGCAAAAAAAAAATACAATAAAAAAAATTAAAAAAAAGAAACGATTTACATAGATTTCGTTGCTTACTAAATATTACCTACAATGCAATTACAACTACAATTTAATGATAAAACAAATTAATTACTCCGACCAACTTGTGAAATAATAAATAAAAATGACCGAAAAAACAGTAACTTAAAGCGGGAGGGTTGTCGCCTGCGTACGCGCGAGAATTGAGCCCCAAGCGACGATAACAACACACGTTAAAAACGCAAAGACTCATGGATAGACGCTTGTTTGTAAACAATGACACGCTATGGCCATCTGACGCACGCGCAGGTGACGACTCCCCCGCTTTAATTGGTTAACTGATTTACATAGATTTCCTTTGAAACTAAACATCAACCTACAATAGCTGTGCTCGCTAAATTTAGATCGCTCCGCCGATCTGACGGTATGTATATTAATAAGCAGCATAGGGGGTCACACCAACATACGGGTTATTGATAAATGATGCCAGTGGAACCAGCAGTGAGGTAAGTAGAAATTCAACATATGTTACTCCGCACGTAATATCACCTAATAAGGACCATATTTTCACACGTGATCGTGACGTGTCAAGCAGCAATATCATGCGACGTACCTGTGGTAACCATGGCGATGGTCTTGAGATGAGTATCTTTAATCGTAACAGGGTGTGATTCGATAACGGGTTCTGAAATTTTGACCTGAAAGAGCCATATTTGACGCGTGTGTGATAATACAATCGTTACAGTATATAGTGCTTGCTGACTTTGGCACAGGCTGTTGCGCATAGGGGACAATGCCGGCTTGTTTCAACAATGATCACGGTTGATGCAGAGCGCCCTCACAAGCACACGCAGTGGATTACATCGATCGATCGGTGGGTGGCCACACTGACAATGCTTTTAAACCCTTCGGACATATTTGTTGGTAATTGTTATTTATGAAAATGCATTAGTGACATTTTACTAGTTAAACCGGTATTTTTCCCCGGAAGTCGAAGATACGGCGGTTTCGCATACGAGCGCATGCCGTTTGGGTATAACGTAAACATGCCCGTGTGATAATGTGCTTCTGGGTTATCCAATCGACGTCACAAAAATAAAATTCTCTTCTATCTATGTTCTATCTATATAAGATTACTTTAATTTTGCTTTTGTGTTGTTTTCTCGAATTTAGCTATTTTCATAAGCTCTTCGACCGGCGTGGCGCACAGTGGTGCGCTTCTTAGTAACGTGGAACGTCTTGTGAGGATGATTTTACATTGGACGACTGCAGAAATATCACCAAACTTCCATAATGGTGATATCTGCGTTCACAAGTCTTAGCCAAAATAATGATAATAATAATAACTTTATTACTCAACAATTACCATCTGTGGGTAATGTATGGTAAGAAAAATACAACAATAAAGAGAAAATTACAATAATAATACTATAAAGAAAAAAAATTACAAAAAAAACAAAAACGTTATTTTTTGTATATTGTTTGTTTTAGGTATTTAACTAGTGGAAAACTGTTGTTGCATATGTTTGAAAAATTGTTTATTCTATTCTGTTTATTTATTATGTTACATTCTATAAACAGCAATTTTCGTTCTTTCTTATAGCGCTCACAGTCTAAAATAACATGGATTTCATTTTCCACTTTTTTATCATTACATTTTGTACATATTCTATATTTTTCTTCCATTTTTGGCTTCCTTCTTCGTCCTAATTCGATTTCTAGATTATGGTCACTTATTCTGAATTTTGTTATTCTTCTTCTCATGCTGAAGTCCTTAATTTCCACTAAGTATTTTTCAGTTTTAAATATTGTTTTGAATAAACTGTATGTTCGTAATTTATTTCCCTCATTTTGATTGTTACTACAACTAACTACAATTTATGTTAAATATATACATGTCACAAGGATAAATTTCAGAATCACCGTTAAAAATGGAGGTCAACGACCTTTAGTTAGTTGATTTTAGCTCTTTCCCCCTCCATTCCCCAGAGCACTATATACACCGTCAACTTCTGAAATTGTGGAAGGAGGAATTAACTGTGGAATATAACCCGTGCATATTTATTCAGCGAGATGCCCAATTGTTACGAGTTACGGACATCGAGTTACAGAAATGACCACGCCTATATTTCTGAAACCACGCCCACTTTTGTGAAACCACGCTCAAATTGTAACTCGATGTTCAATTAACAGTTAACCAAACTTCGAGTTACGGGCAACAAATATTTGTTTTGTTTAACTTTTAAATTTTGGAACTCGAAGTTTGATTAACAGTTATTCAAACTTCGAGTTAGTAACACGAATTTTAATTAACACAACTTCGAGTTACGGAACCGTAGATTGTTGTTATTTATCAAAAAATCCACACACCGTCTTTCATTTTTGACCACGCAATAAGCTTACTTGTTTGAACTGTTGGACTTATAGTCACCTGTACAACTTCACAACTTCTTGTCGACGTCTTGCTGGAGCCTAGCAACCGTGATACTTCCTCATCGGCGTCATTCCATATTTTCATCATCTCCAACTTTCTTTCTTTTATCATATAACGATTCATTTTAAATTTAACAACGCACGACTGACACTGACACGGTCGTCCGTGTCACTAGTACAACGTGTGACATTCTCAAATCTCAGATTCTCAAATGTTCACATTAGTCAATTTTTCGCCATTTTCGTTGCAATAATATCAGTAGCATTGGTGCGACATTACAAACGCGCACAGCAACTAAGCCAAAAAGTTGAAGTTCATCGCCAACTTGAAAAGGGACGTTGTTGCTTCCCCGATGAGCTATGGACGACTGTCTTCGAAACGTTCCATTCAGATCGGACTGCGCCCTCTTGAGCCACCCCTGTGCTATCCGCGATTTGTTTTTTAAATGTGCGCATATTTTATTTTTTATGTTATTTTTTTATTTTAGAAAAACGGTAAAATAATATGCACAAAATGCCAATGTTATTTTAGCAGCGGTTTCCATAGACCACAATAAAAATACTCCTCAAAAAAATCTACTAAAAATATCAAAAGGTACCTTCTAAGACACTATTCTCTGGGTCGGACATCCGGGCATTTTCACCGCCTGGCAACCATCGCGGTGAAAACAAAGGCGAATAATTCTCAGAAAACGGTACTTCGGGATGGTTGTTGAGACTCCCCTGAATAGTGTAACAAGATTAGCCCTGCGTGTGTAACATATATAAATTCGGTTGTTCAGGATTACTTCAAAATTGAGTTCCTGTTTTCCCCCCGAATTTTCACCGGCTCTTCGCTCGGCGTACCGCGTTCCTCCGCAGTGGAACGCGTCTTAGCAACGTGGAACGTCTTGTGACGTAGCTCCGCCACGGGAATATATATTTTTTTACCATATGTCAACGAGCAAAATTTGAGATATATCCCGTTGCATAGCCTGACATGTAGGCGTGAGTGGCGCCCTCACCGGCCGAAACAGTTGATGTACAATTTGAAGCCAAGTGAGCAGGGTTTATTTTTGCACCGTGCTTGGTGTTGTTAAGAAATATTAAAAAACACACATATTCTATGACGTAAGGGGGTGATATTAGGACCACTAAATTCAACCAACATGTTTCATTGTGTTGTCGGAAGTTAGCAAAAATTCAATCTGATTGTATTTTGTTCATATTGATGTAACATTGATTGACACCAGAGGTACATTACTTGGGGTTTGCAACGCGCATCGAACTGTATGGTGACATCATGCCAAGATCCCAGTCAATTCTCATCTCGTAGATAGCGAGACTGATGCTACGACCTTCTGGCATGACATAGGCGGTTTGTAATAAAACAATAAAACATGTATTACCACATTCATAATGAAAAAATGTAATACATCGAAAATATACAGAAAATATAGTTATCGTAATCCGTCATATCGTAAGCAGCTATTTTGATCCACCTGGACATCCCAGTATCCTAGTTATCTCGGGCATGCGCATTCGCATTTTTCTGAGGTGGTACGCTTATGCGAGAGCGAGATTGCAATGGGATCTTGGTATAATGTCACCGTCGCTGCAAACCCCAAGTAATGTACTGTTGTTGTCGATAAAAGTTGGCCCGTATATTATCATTTTTTTTATTTTCAGGGTTACAGAGAAACGAGATCCGATTTTTACGTTTTTCGCTATAAATCAAATGATGTCCAAAATCCCCGGGAAACACTATTGACTACCGTCCAATGAACTCCAGCCAATCTAACCAATTTGAACTCTGACCTCGACGTTTTAACATTTGAAACTGACTGTGTGCGTTGATTGGTCGAATCTGACCTTCGAACCCCTACGCTATCAATATTCATGAGGGGGACACGTATAATGGCGGACAGGGCGTACCGCAAAATAACACAGGATCTCGCAGACCCCAGAGACTTCCCGGCGGGCTCTTCTGACAGCGAACTAGAGATATTTCACGATCTCGACATGGAAGAAGACGGAGGGAGAGATCGTATGCCAAGAGGGGGAGGGAAGTACGAAATGATGGAGGACTCGGCTCCACCGCCAAAATCAGTTTCCAAAATAACAGCTGTCATAATAGTATCATGTGTGGTTCTGGCGATTATTATTATCGCGATCGTCGTCGCTGTCTACGTTCCGAGCGGGGTTCCGTATACCTCGATTCGACTACCTCTCAACGTAATACCACAGACATACGATATTTTTTTGCATCCAAACTTAACGACCGAAGAGTTCGCAGGAACTGTCACAATCCAGTTAAAAGTTGTCCAAGAAACATCGTCAGTTATCGTACACATGAAAGACTTGAAGTTTACTAGGACACCTGAAATCACGCCCGTTGTTTCAAAACGAGACACGGTTACGCAAGATATCAGAGTAAAGGACACGGCACCGATAAACGACTTGGAGATGATGTACCTCGAGCTGTCCCAGGAACTGCAAGTCGGTATGTTGTATAACTTGAAGATGAGCTTCAGCGGTCAGCTGAATTCGGAAGGACTCGACGGTTTTTATAAAAGCGTCTACAAGGCGGCAAATGGCGAGGAAAGGTATGTGATATTGTTTCAGTCGTTTTTTGTTTGTTTACTTTGTTGTTTACCGTATCGCTGTTGTTGTTTACGTAAACAGAACAAATAGTATTAAAATCACGTCGTTGTTATGTGTGTATGTTATTGGGTAGATTCGCAGTCTATAAAAGGAATGTTGTTCAAATAATTTACAACTTTTGAAACATATTGCTTCGCTATTGCAATAGAAATATGAAATTATTTATTTATTCATACATACATAACATTCCCTGGAGGAGATGAAAAGGGCTATATATCAGATATTGGTATTAATAGTAAAAGAAAATAAACAACTGTAAAATACTTTATTTTAGCTGGAATTAATTTTCGCTGAAAAGACTTTTTTTGCGTTTTGTATGGAATTTATTATCACTGATTTTTGACGAGTTGAATGTAAAATATAGGAAAAAAGGTAAATTCGCTGGATTATATTTTCACTCAATCAATACCTCAGCTAAAACAGCGAAAATGAATTCCTAGCGAAAATAAAGAATTTTACAATACATGAAAAAAAAAATACATCAATCAAATTTATTAGAAATAAAAAAATATTGAAACTATAAATGCATAGTATATACTAAAATTTATCTAAAGAAAAAGTAAAAAAAAATATAATTTGTATACAAGGTATGTGTTACTGGCTTAGTTTATGTAGGTGCTGCTGTCTTGTATTAAAACAGTTTTTTAAATATTGCGCTAAAGCAATTGATATTTTCTCGTCACTGAGTAATGATATAAATTTATTTTCATTACTAAGTTTCTCAAAATTTGGTATACATTTATTAGCTACAGTGTAAAGTTTTAACCTTATTTCATTGTAACGAGTACAATTTAAGACAAAATGTTGTTCATCTTTAACATGGTCATAAATACTTTGCTATGTGGTGAACGGTTATTTAAAATAGCGATATCGTGCATGGAAGATGAGTTACAGACCCCCCCCCTCAAAGTGCCTGTCTAAAATTAAAATTGAAATAAAATTCACTAGTCTGTAGTCACAGACTCTCAGAAAACTGTACTTCGGGATAGTTGTCGAGACTCCCCTGAACGGTGAAACAAGATTACCCCTGCGTGTGCAACATATATAAATTTGGCTGCTCAGGATTGTCTCGTAGTTGAGCTTGTGCTGTTTCCTCGACTACAGCTATTTTCACCGACTCTTCTACCGCCGTTCCACAGCAGCTCGCACATGGCCAATGGAAAAACATGGTACATTGGTACATGTCTTAGCAACGTAGAACATTCTGTGACGTAGTCCCGCACTCAAGAATAGTCTGAGATAAAAGACAATATGATGAAAAAGGGTTTTACTGATGCATGTCATTTGTGTGTGTTTCATTTGGTACAGTGGTGTATGTCTTACCAACGAAGAACGTTCTGTGACGTATCTGCGTCCCCATGAATTGTACGTCATTTCGATACTCTACACTGTAGACCAAATCAGATCATGATGTACCGTAAACTTAAAATATATTGCATTTGCAGAACACACTACAATTTTTGTTAGATGAAAAATTGTGCTCTAGATTTTTATTATTCCTTCAAACTCAACTCAGATTTGTGCAACAAAAACAGCGTTTTCATGTCATTATAAATATACAATATCAAACTACAATAGTAAAATAAATTGAAACAAAATTAAATAAATTATAAATTAATGCGAGTGGGTCGTCACCTGCGTACTTGCAGGAATTGAGTCCCAAGCGACGATGACAATACACGCTAAAAACACAAAGGCTCATGGGTAGACGCTTGTTTGTAAACAATGACACGCTATGTCCATCTAACGCACGCGCAGGTGACGACTCTCCCGCTTTAAAATAAAATATATGTATAATAAGCCAGTCATATGCACTGTTCCCTTAAATTTATTTAAATCTTGAAAATACTTTGAAAATTTGCCCATTTACCCCTTGAAATGTTTTTTCTGCATACAGAAATGCATGGAAAGTTTCTCAAAAGACAAAATTTTACTGAGAAACTACAATTGAATCTGAGAAAATTGAGCGAAAATAAGGCTTAGAGGGAACACTGGTCATATGAGTTAGACTTTGTTTGATGCATTTATAATGTCTGCCCCGTAGTGTATCAGATGTTTGTGTAATTAATACTCACTTTGAATTAAGCAAACTTAATCATTTTTATTTCTGTTATTCAGTAAGCAGTTAGTCAGATTAACCCATCATCTGATGACCACCCCGTTATACACCAGTAGTTTTGGCTATCGAGAATTACCAGAATCTGTCTGATTAATATGTTTAATCTTTTACAAAGTAAATTTAAATGTATGCAGTTGATTTAAACCCAATTTTTTTTCTGAGGCGAAATTGACAGCATCCACTATAATAAACAAATATTTTTTAAATCATATGAAGATATGAAAACTATAAATATAAACGACGATGTAGCGTCTATATTATCAATCTCAATAAACTGTCAACATTTTTCTATGTGCTTCGAAAAATTGCTTGGATATGTCAAATGTACTGGTACTGTATTCTACGTTTAATTTTCGTACATTCATTATGTCATTCAAATGGTTTCCATGGTGATCATTGTATCCCTCAGTTTATTTCTCCTCAATTTCAAAGCAACAGAATAAATAGCATATTTATTTAGGTAACCCGCTCTTTCCCGAAAATATCAGATTAAAGCCTTTCTTGGTGCATACTGAAAATACTATAAAGGACGTTGAGCACGGCACCGAATCATGTTCCAAATTTTTCATCATAGAAATTTTACTAGGGTCCTAAATACATACACAATCATCAAAAATTAATTAAACAGTCATTGTGCAGTATGTGTTAAAATGTTGTGTAAAAGTTCACATGCATTGTGTATGTTGCATGGGACCCACAGCACACATGATGTGGTGCGAGAATTATAGAACAATCAATATTGAACAACATTTTCTCTGCTAAAAATGTTGTGATTTTCTGTGACTTATGGTTCTCAATATCAACATTGTTGCTTCATTTTGCAATTTTTTGTATACCATGAATTGTTTTTGATTTAATTTTTGTCCAAAATAACAAGGTAATTTATTTATTTTGTCTATTTTCACTGGTCAAAATAAAAATCAATAATTTAAAAAAAACAAAAAAACAAGTCTGGACAAATTCTGGTTGATAGTGATTCTCAGGAACTGACTGTTTACTCAGTACTCTGCAATAGTAATCAGTCCGCCCTACATGTACCTTCCTAAAAAGTAGTATCCCGGTATTCTAAACACTAATTTAAATAAAAAAAAAAATGTCAGACGAGACAGCTGCAACTTTAATGGCTTAGTACAAAAATAAATGAAAAAAAATTGATTTATTGTTTTTCAAAATTCCAATAAATACAGGGAATCAAAAATATAAAAAAAGTAACAAAATGATAAATACAATAAAATATACAATGTTAATTTTATTGTCCTGTATTATTAAAGACAACTTTATTGTTCTGTATCAAAAGCCATTGATTTTAATGGCTTTTGATCAACAAGTTAAAATGTCATGGAATTATGTTTAAAAAAACTATTTTTGTATAAAAGTGACAAAACATTACTGACATTTTTTGTTGCTGTAGAATTTCATTGTGATTGTGTTGGTATCACCATATGGTATTGGTCATTGTATTTGTTGCCATACAAACAGTTACAATGATCTTTTTTTGTTTTATTTGAACTTCAATGAAAATTTGGGTGAATTCGTACCATCAGGTACTTCACATGGTATTTAAGCTGATTTAATTTCGGGAGATAAATTTCAGTGAAAATCGCATTATTTTGTGAATTCTGTGATTTTTTTTTTCTGATAACATGGAGTGTCAGCAACTTTCAACAAAATTTGTCAAAATTTCACAAAATCCAAAATTCTTACCAGTGAAATGTGAAAAGCAGTCACTGAACCCTATAAGACCTTAAATCTTCTCGAACACCAAAAGTTAACTGTTGTCACCTTTCTCAAAATAATTCCACATAATTTTTTTTATATTTTTGACAAAATTTTGATAAATACTTGTAGTTAATGGGAAATTATGTCTATTTAGTCAAAAGTTTACAAAAAAATATTTTAGAAAAATGCACAAAATGTGATGCAGAAATTTTTGGCGTGAAAAATTAAATCTTCTTGAACACCAAAATCATCTTTTGTCACCTTTCGAAAAATAATTCCACATACATTTTTTTATATTTTTTACAAAATTTTGATAAATACTTGTAGTTAATGTGAAATTATGTCCAATTGGTTCAAAAGTTACAAAAAATAATTCACAAAACTTAGCACACTATTTTGACAGGAAAAATTCAAGTCAACTTTTGTTAATTTTCACAAAATAATTTTTTTTCAAAAATGTTGATCAATACTTGTAGTTAATTAATATTATGTCCATTTGGAGAAAAGTTCACAAAACGTAGCACAGCAATTTTGGCAGGAAAAATTAAACCTTTTGTCTCTTTTCACAAAATAATTTTTTTTAAATATTATTTTTTTCGAAAAATGATGATCGGTACTTGTAGTTAAATAGAAAATTATGCCCATTTTGTCCAAGCAATTCTAAGAAAAATGTACAAAACGTAGCACAGACATTTGGGCAGGAAAATTATGGTATTCAAAGGTTCAACCAACCGATCTCGCAATAATTTAAAAAATTTTTAAAAATGTTTACAATAAAATATTGTGATACATGATATTGAAAGTTGAGTTTTAAAAGAAACAAATTTTGAAAAAAAAAAATTCCCTTACTTTATTTCTTTTAAAAATTATTTGAATCCTTTTCCCCCCCAAAAAAATGAATGTAAATTATTAGTTGTATTTTGCTTGTAATAACATGCTGTTCATTTTGCAAACAGCTTGGGTACTACAAATATCTTTTGTATTCAGTGTTTTTCAACGAAATAATAACCGCTTTCAAAGTGTTCGTACATTTAACTATCACTATAATAGCACTCACAGGTGTGAATGTGCTAATGCGTATTTATAATCACGCTCATTTCTGCT